TGATTTATAGCCTCAGAAACCCAATGGAGGGTCAGCTGAGCCAGTTCCCACTTGAAGGCAATGAGTGAGTGGAGTAGAGGTTAAGATGGTGTTTGTGTTTTTCGTTTGCAAGATTATCGAAATGATTGAGAATATTTCAGTCTATTAATGTCTTTTCGTCTTTTCTCTCCTTGAAGTGCAGGCTCCAGAGCTTGGAACTCAAGTACAAAAGTCTCAGGGTTAAGCTCACTCTCTCAAGAAACTCCATACTGAGTGATGGTCAAAACCAAACGTACTGCCTTCAAGTAGGTTCCAACCCATAACTACACCACAGCGCAGAGTAGAACTGTCCCACAGCATTTTCAAGGCTATAAATCTTCATGGAAGCAGACGGCCGTTCCTTTCTCCCAATCAACGGCTTGTCAGTTGGCCAGGGCCCTTCTTGTTATTAATCAAGGGTTTTAACCCTCGTACCCACATAGCTTTTTTAATTTTGGGGTTCAATATACAGAGTTTCATGACCTCCAATTGTCACATGTCCTTCCTGGCACATTAGTAGCTCTACACCTGTACGATGAGGCACCAAGAAGGATAATTTCAGAATTGAACAAGTCATGCTTCTATTAAGCTCTGGTGGCTCTTCTCTGGAGGTTTGAAACCACCAACGCCCGCACGGGAGAAAGTTGGGCAATCTCCTCCGAAAACCTGCGGCAGGGTCTGCTGAATCAGCTGGGAATCGACAGCAAAGAGATTTTTTGATGCTTTTATTAGTTCATCCTGTGTTTGAAGCACATGCAGTCGCAGTTCTTGGGGCAACAAGGACTGGGCTATGGTGGGCCCAGCCCCGCAGCTAATGGTGTGTGGACAGGGTTCCCACACCCGTCTTCCCGGGGCCCGGGCGGCGCCCAGCCCGCCTCCGTCCAGGTCACACACGACCCCACCTCCCCCCTCCTTTGCAGCCTCAGCGGCAGCGAGCCAATATACCACGTGACCTCGCCGGCCCGGGAGGGGACGTGCGTGTACCACGTGACTGCGCTGGCCCTGTAGGGGGCGTGGCCCAACCGCGCCACCGCGACTTCCGCCAAGCGTCCTGGTCGCCTAGCAACGAGGCTAGGGGGCGCGATGGAGCCCAACCGAGACCGGGAACATGAGGCCAGGGAATATTTGGAAAAACATAAAATTATGGAATTGCTGAACCTGCTCACCAGCGCACTCCTCTTTTACCGGCCGGGTAAGGGCTCGTCTCCTCCGTCGGTCGGACACCGCCCTCCACGCCCCTCGCGCGTCCTCTCACCGCCACGCAGTCTCTCTCTGGACCCCGGGCTCTTGGAGGCTCACTCGATCGATCACTGATTGCCTTGTTTCCAGCCACAAAGTAGGACTAGCGCAGATGGCGGGCTCTTAGCTGGAGGAGGCGCGAGTGTGGGAGGCTCCTGGCTCCCGCAAAAAGTCAAGACCCTGAACCTTTTATTTCTCGTGTCTGAAAAATCCGTATAATAATAGTACAGATCTCATCAGAAAGTGGGGGAGAGTAAATGAATAATCAGCCGGTGTTATACTTACCCTTGAAGGAATTTTAGTAAAGGATGCGTGTAAGCAATTGTTACAATAAACCGCTCTTTCTGAAGACTTCCTGACTTTTTTGACACAGATGAGTTCAGTACAAAGTTTGAGTCATTATACCCGTATTTGTGTGAGATATGACAAGAAGTTATGTTTTTAAAAAATTATGTTAAGATTATAATTTAACAACTTTTTATCAAGTGGCTTGTAACTGACATGAGCGTGTTTTTGTGTTTCTGCTTGTTGAATTCACCAGCAGCTGGGGGCGGCGGGGGTAAGACATTTTACAGCTTCGGGAAAGTTAGAGAGGGTCGCTCTGAATGAAAACCTCTCTGGCAGTGAGTGATGTGACTTAAGTCTTGATTGACCACACCCAGCGGGGCGTGGTAATCTTACCTAGGATTTTTCTGTTGCTCACATAGACCCCCGCATTCTCACTCATGCCAGCTGCTTGTGGGGTACAGAATTCTTTATTCAGTGTCATTTTTTATTTTAATAGAGCTGTTGAGAATATGCACATGAAAGCAGATACCAGCCTGGTGGCCTAGTGGTGAGAAGCTGGCATTGTGAACCGTAAGGTACCACAGTTCAAATCCATCAGCCGCTCCACGGGGAGAAAGAAGAGCAGTCTCCTCCCTGCATTTTAAAGCCTCAGAAAACCCGCTGGAGGGTGGGCTAAGAGTCAGTTCCAAATTGATGGTAGACAACATGTATAATTAAATGGCATTGCTTACATTCTTCAGGTTGTTCAGTAAAGTCACTGTCACCTGTTTGTGATTGTTAAAGTTGCTGCTGTTGATTCCCTGTGTTGATGTTAGGTGTAATCAAGTCAGTGTCCACTCATAGCAGCCTTTTGTACAATAGAACAGACCACCGCCTGATGCTGCCCTGTTCTCACAGTGACTGCTGTGTTTCAACCATTGTTGCCATCACTATGTCAATCCATATTGTTTTCCTTTAGTGGTTTTTTGTTGGGTTTTTTTCCTCTATACTTTAGCAAGCATGATATCTTTCCTTAGGGACTGGCCTCTCCGAATAATATGCCCACAGTTTGTTTAATGAAGCCCCTTCTAAGGAACATTCTAACTGCACTTCTTTGTTCTTTTGACAGTTCATGGTGTATCCCATTCTCTTCATTAACAACCTAATAAAAAAGGCAACAGTTCTTCAGTCTTCCTTATTCATTGACCAACTGAAAAATACCTTGAGTCAAGCATACCTTAGTCTTGAAAGCTGTCTCCTTGCTCTGAAGCAACTTAAAAAGATTTGCCCAGTGCAGTACATCTCTTAATTTCATGACTTTTGCTTCCATGGGTGTTGACTGTGCATCCAAGTAAAATGATATTATTGACAACTTCATTCTTTTCTCCGTTTATCATGATGATGCCTCCTAATCCTGTTGTTCGGTTTGAAGGCTTCAGGGGATGATTTTAGTTTAAGGTTTAAGAATTATCAGGACAGTAGTTTGAGTTCATCCAGCTTGTGAGTGTAGAAAGTTTGTAGTACTTTACATAAAAATGTAAAATTATGCTCTACATTTCCCCCACTGTAGATCAAAAGTTTTCAATAGAATCCTAGATCAAAATGTTGAGAAATGGTAGTCTGGCAGTATCTAGTTCTTGTGGTCTTATGACAAGGGAGGTACTTGGTCATGAAGCAAGTTAGCCACACATTCCATATCCTCTTTAGCAGCTCCCTTTTTTTTGTCATAGTTGTAAACATACCTATCACACAACTTTATCTATTGGACTTTTTACAGTTTTTTAACTGACAGAAAATCACATTCACCCAACTGTGCACCTCTACCTTTAATCAATGTAATGTTTCCATTACTATAAGCTGAAATTCTGTATTTCATAAGCAATAACTCTCCCAATAACCTAAGTTTTTAATAACTATTACACTCGTTGAATTTTAATCTATGAAAAATAATTAAAACTGTTTTGCAGAAAACCCAAGAGAATATTTAATAAATATATTGGAAAGATTGAGACTGGCACAATTAACAGGTGTGCCTTTTCCTTTTTTTATGGATAAAACCAACATTGTGGCGATGTTTGAGATGATAGACTCCAGAAGCAGTGGCACCATATCATTTGCACAGTATAAAGAAGGTCAGTATCTTAGAAACCAAGATAGTTTGTGGTCATTCCGTAACTATTCAGCTGAAAATAACTCTCACTTTGTATATTTTTATTTCTCCCCATTCTAACTTTTATAGCCCTAAAAACCTTGGGTCTCTATAATGCAAATGAGGATTTAAAAGATGATGGACATGTAATAACCGTGGAGAAATTCAAGGAGGAAGTGTAAGTAACAAATGGATAGAGAAACTGTGGTATATTCACACAATGGAATACTATGCTGCATTGAAAAACAAAGAACTCATGAAATATTATTCAAAATGGGTGAACCTGGAGGACATTATGCTGAGTGAAATATCTTAGTCACAAAAGGACAAATATTGCATGGTGCCACTGTTGTAGAACGGGACTGACATCAGGGTTGGGGGGAGACTGAGAAAGATGGGTTCAATAATGTATAATGCATTGAAACAGATGAGGGAGAGAACTGTTTAAAAGAGATATGTGATTAGGTATTATTGTCTTGATAGGAGTCCAGAACGAAGGCTGCATAGTGGAGTGGACTTGAGGGGAGGGATTGTATAACAATGAAAGAATTTTTCTTTTACTTTTAAAAGAGAAGAGCGAACTGGGGGAGAGGGGTGGGCAGGGAGACAAACGTTAACAATGAATGAATGAAAATCCAAAGTCTCTGTAAATGTTCATTAAAAAAAAAATTTTAAAAAAGAATGAGGAAAAATCCCAGTGTGCTAGAACAACCATCAAACCTTTTAGTTCGATACACCAGTTAGAAAAACTTACGTATAAAATGCAAAGCAAGAGAATCTGTCTCAAATGAATTCCTCAGAATTTAGTGCAACATCAGTGATTCCCTGTAGTATAGGAAGCATGCCAACCAAAGTATGAAAAATAGTAACTAAATGTTCAATCAGGAAAAAAAAATACTGGAATAGAATTTGATAGCTATATAAAGCCTCCAATAATGTAGCTCAGTATTTTAAAAAGTTTTTTCTGAGTGTTTATTAACCAAAAAATCATTAATACCGCCCAAGATGAAAGAACAGTTAGAAGAAAATGTAAGGTCATTAGTTATATAAATAAGAAGGGAAAAAGGTTTAATTCTATTTCTTGCTCCAAGGGAAAAAGAGTGAAGCAGAAGCAACTGGTCTGAAATGTTCCATACTGAAAGACAAAGTTGCCCACTGCCACATGGAAATAGGGGGTGTACTTTAAATGGAACAAAATTGGTGGGAAATGAAAACTGCTCCTACCTGAGTCATCATTTCACAATATGTTTTGTTCTGGAAGGATTGTGACTCCCCAGAATAGACACAGGAATCTTAATTATAAACATCAATTATAAAGTGATTTTTTAAAAAGAAAAATGTATTTGCTATGTTTGATTATCCACAGCAATCTCCCTTAATTAGTGTAGGATACTAAGAGTCAATCATAATTTACTAGCTCTGCTCTTATATTTTCATGACAGACTGCCATTCATATGTATAAACAAAATGACTGTGTTTGCATGGTTTCTAAATTGTGTTTTTTTGTGTTTGTTTTCCATAGGGAAAAGAGGTATAAAGAAGGATGGCCAGCATTTTAATAACACCTAAAAGTCCATGAATGATTCCGTAGAATTTTCAGTTGTCCAGTTTCATTATAATATCACCGCATAACTTGAAATCCAGTTGGCATCCTCTTTGTTTAAAAGAAAATCCTAAGAAGTTTTTATTATGATGGATGGCATTATTTTCCAGTATTTGGCCAGTTTGTTCTCAAATTAAGTAGAATCTCCACATCTTGTTGAGCTAGTTTATAAATTCCAAGTTCATTCAGTGCTGCTGTGGCAGGAGGTTGCTCAGGAGCTGACTGTAGGACATCTTTCAGAAGAAGGGCAGAACCAATATTCAAATTCAAGGCAATACAGGCTTCTTTGACACTGTTAAAGAAAAAATAAACACAGGAGGGAAATTACATGTTTGTTATCTGTATCATCCATATTAACTCAGAAAAACTTTATTTGGAAAAAATGACCAGTTCCTTATACTGATATGTCCTCTATATTATGTGGCTTTTTATCATGGTTAGACTGTATATGTATAGAGCATATATTTCACTAGGTTTCTAGAGAGAATAAGGAGTAACTAGTTGCCATTGAATAGATTCCACCTCATGGTGACTCTCTGCATTAGAGCAGACGTATGTTACACAGCGTGTTCGATTTATTGATTTTGGAAAAGAACATCATCAGACTTTCTCCTAAGGTGCCACTGGGTGGATTCAAGCTAGCAACCGTTTAGTCATCAGCCACACTTTTTAATGGTTTGATTTCTACTGCTGAGGGACTCCTTTTCTTAGTAGGCATACATTACTGTCCTACATATAGTACTTGATACTGATAGTCTATGAAAGCTAAGACATTAGTTAAATGAGGATATGGGAACAGAGAAAGTTAATTAAGGGATAAATGAAAAGCATTAATGAAAAATGAGGGGTTAGAAAATTTCTTAATAGAATAAGCAAAAATCTTTCATTTTATTATATGTTTAGGAACTTCATTACCATCTCAAATACTTCCTAAATAATTTAAATTTTAACCCCCCCACAAATCAGAAAATACTTCTAAGAATTTTTTCCATAGACATACATAGTTAGAACCAAAAGTAGTAAGTTTTATGGAAGAAAATTTGTCAGACCTGCCTTAACTGATTAGTTACTAAAAAAATATCTGTAACTGTGTTTTTTTTCACATTCTAACCTATCCCTCAGTAATAAGCAAATTAAAAACCTGACTGCCTTTGAGTTAATTCCCAATAGGAGCATTTAGACCAAATGCTAACAAACCCAAGATATAATTTGTGCCTTGGCTGGTACGCACTCAGCTTTTACATGTTAGCTTCTCTAGTATTTTAGCTTGTAATCTAAGCATACAGGAGATACACAGTGAGTGTTTTAAACTTTTAATTGATCTGTACTTATTCCAGGAGCCATGGTGGCATAGGATGAACCAGGCTGATAACTGAAGGTCAGCAGTTTAGACCCACCACCACCTAGCTGATCCTTAGAAGAACAATGAGTAGTCTCCTCCCGTAGAGAATTCCAGTCTCTGAAACCCAATGCAGCGTCACTATGAGTTAGAAGCAACTTTTTTTTAAAATTTTGTGTGTGTGTGTGTGTGTGTGTGTGCGCGCGCCGTCAAATCAGATTTGACTGGTACAGGAGGAGATTGTTCCTCCTTCTCCAGCAAAGCATCTAGTGGATTTGAACTGCACACCTCTGGGATTGCAGTGCAGCTTCTTGCCACTAGGCCACCAGAGCTTGCCGAGTTAGAAGCAACTTGAGGCAGTGGATTTTGGTTGGTGCTTATTCCACTAAACACTATCGGGCCCCTAAAGAGCCACAGAACAAGACGGATTGACACAGTGACTGTAACAACAGGTTAGGCATTTTACAGACGATAAGGATGGAACAGGATAGGGTACAAGAATCAGATCTGTTGTTCACAGGGTCGCTGTGAGTCATAGCTGACTCAACAGAAGCGAAAACTAACAAAAGTTCTTTAAGATGCAGTCTACCTCCTCTCACAATCTGAAGCATCAATTAACAACTAAATATTGAGCTTACTGCTTAAAATAATTTTCTGGCCTCTTGCAATAGTGGGAAAACAAAGGGAAAAGATTCCGAGTCATATCAAACTGCAACTGAGCCGCTCCTCCTTCATTGAAGTGATTAGCAAGGATGATCTGAAACACAGAATAATTAATGATATAATGAATTGCCCTTATCATCATAGACCAATGCCATCGTCTCCTCTTACTTACTTCTTGGTAGATGTACATGTCCAGCTTCTCTACAAGCATTTGCCAGAAAATTTTAAATAAGGAGAAGCAAAGCTGCTGCTCGAGCTGAAGTAACCGGTCCCGTAAAGTAAGCAATAAAGGGCAGGCCGAACTGGACAGGGACATTACGGCCTGCTCTGACTGAGCCGGCAAAGACAGCCACCTGGAAAAAGAAGGACAACATAGCCTGAAGCACAAGAACTTTGACTATCAAATGTCTCATCATCTCATATTTCTAAAGATTTAGCAAATAATGTTAAATTTTGGGAGGTACACTGTATTTAAATAGTACTGGTGCATTAAAGGTCAGAAAACAATTACTACCAAATACCCAAAGTTCTACCAGAAAATAAATTATTTGCATTTAAACTTTGGCTCTCAATTAAATGTTCCTTATTTAATAAGACGATGGTAGGTAAATATTTTAAATCCCAATTATATATGTGGTTTATAGGAATAATTATATAACGGCTAAAATGTAAAATGTTAGCATTTAAGACATCAGCTAATTTTATGCTTTTATTTTCAGTAAAAGACAGTAACACTTTCAAGCTCACTATAAGGCATTGATTGTGCTAGAACAATAGCATTTGCCTCAAAGGCTCCTAATGTGGTGAAGATAAAAGGTGCCCATAGGGAATTATAGTAGAAGAAAGAGTACAATGCAAGCATACACAGACTGTGACAGGAGCACCTTATTGTATAAAATGGGTGACAGTCCCAACACTCTGGTCTTTAGATAACCCTCAGGCCTAAAAAGACCCAGCCAGAGAGAGAAAACTTTAGTGAAACCACAGACAAGCCTATAATGAAGTGAATAATAATCCCAGAGAGGAATGTATTCTTCTGTACAATCAACCACATAAGACCAAAAGGGCATTATCTACCCAGAGGGCAGAAAGAGGCAGCAAAAAAAAATGAATGAGGCAAACCTCTAACTCACCTAGAAACATGGAAATCTGATTTAATGTACCATCTTTTAACTTTCACCAAACTGAGGGTGATCTATTAGAAAACAAAGGGCATACCTTTCTTTTTTATACAATTTTGCAGCGTCTTTAACTTCCCTAAAAACATGGTCAACTTGACGGGTCAACATATCATGTTTTAAACGCTCTAAGAGGTTAATCATGTCATCAAAGACCGAGCTTTCCATTGAGGCCAGCTGTCCCAACTGCAATTGACTGAGGGTATTATTCTCTGCAAAGACCTCCAGTGCTGCCTGTTGAAGTTGTAGAAAAAACTAGAAGCAAAAACATGTTAACAAGTTAACTTTTTTAAACAGCTTGAGATATAATCTGCATAATGTACAATTCACTCAAAGTGTGCAATTCAGTGGCTTTTACTGTATATTTACAGGGCTGTGTACTCATCACCAGTCTATTTTAGAACATATTCATTACCCCCAACCCTAAAAAAAACCCCAAACCTCAAAACCATTAACCCCACTCTCTTCAGCCTCACTCTTTCCACAGCCTCAGGTAACTATGAATACACTTCCTGCCTTTCAGGATAGTTCATAAAAATGGAATCATAATATGTGGTCTTTTGCATCTAGATTATCTCACTTAGCACAGTGTTTTCAAGGTTCATTCATGTTACATGGATCGGGACTTTATTCTTTTTTTCTTGTTGACTAATATTCCATTGTATGAATATACCACATTTTATCTATCCATTTTTGGTTGATGGGCTTTTGGGACATTTTACTTTTTTGGTTATTTAGGCAGCTTCCACTGTTATTTTAGTTTGTTTTTTATTAATTATTTTTTGTGTATGTACCATCAAATTAGATCTGACTGGTACCGGAGGAGATTGACCCTCTTTCTCCAGCAGAGCATCTGGTGGATTCGAACCATGTACCTCTGGGATTGCAGTACAGCTTCTTGCCACTAGGCCACCAGAGCTCGCTCTCCAGTGTTATTTTAAGAAAACATTTTATGCACAAGTTTTTGCTTGGATAACGGTTTTAAATGGTTTCAGGTATATTTCCTATCAACTATATTAGTATGTATTGCTAAGATTTAAGAGCTTTTTAAGAAACACAACCACAGTATCATCACATGTATTTAACTGATTGATTATATTGTTGTTGTGTACCCTCCAGTAGGTTTTCAGAGACAGTAAATCACACAGGAGACTGCCCATCCTTCTCCCATGGAGCAGCTGGTGGATTTGAGCAGCATGCCTTTAGGATTATAGTGCAGCTTCTTACTGCTAGGCCACCAGCGCCCCCTGATTCTTTCTACTAAAACCACTAAACCAATTTCATTCATTAGAGCTGATTGGATTCTGACTTAGGGAAAAGAGTAGATCTGCCTCTGAAAAAGATTAGAGGTTCTTAGGGCTGCAAATATTTATGGAAGCACACTGCTACACTGTTCCCCAGAAGAGTAGCTTGTCAGTTAAAACAAGAATCCACTAGGATTTTTTTATATAGAGAAAAAATGTCATAGATTACCTTTATGTTGAACTGTTTATATTAACGGACTTAAAGTTTTGCTTTTTAGATTTATTTAAAATATACTTAATAATATAAGGACAAGTGATTCCTGATGATTAACATTAGTTAAGAACTGTTTGACATGGTAATTTATCTTTTTTCCTCCACCTCCCCCTCCGCACCCCCGCTCTTGACATGGTAAGTTAATAGAGAGTATTGAGATGTGATGTTTTTTAAAAGAGGTCTTATCTCTTAGAGATACATACTAAAATGTTTGACATGAAATATGATTATCTGAGATGGATTTAAAAATAATCATATGTAGGTGAGCTCTGGTGGCCTAGTGGCAAGAAGTTGCACTGCAATCCCAGAGGTGAGTGGTCTGAATCTACCAGATGCTCTGCTGGAGAAGGAAGGACAATCTCCTCCTGTACCAGTCAGATCTGATTTGACGGTATACACACAAAAAAAGAATAAAAATAAAATTTTAAAAAATCATATGTAGGGGATGGAACAGAGCTTAAATGAAACAAAACTGGTGTATAAAGTGGGTGAAGGGCACGCTGAGTTTACTATTCTTCGCAATTTTGGATATGCTTGAAAATAAAATGTTAAATGCTTTGAAAATACATAGAATTTAAAAATAATGTTTCTGGGAGTTTTTTTTCAATTTTACAATTTTTTATAATCTCTACCATGGTTTAAAAATAATCAAGAAATACCAAAGTTATTCTTTTCTTTTCCTTTAATCTTAGTTTCTTGATTTCACAACAGTATTCTTAATTACCTAAGATGGCAATTACCCATGTAGCACAAAGTGAAAAGAAGAAAGTTGATTCTGAGAACAATTATTTCAAAAAATGTTGCCTTTGTTTTCCAATGATTATGTACACCAGGATACCTGGATTCCTTAACCACAGGGTTTTTCTGATTGAGAAAATAGTGTATTTTAGTCACCTAAATTTTACATCATTGTAATTCTAATTTTTTTTGTTTGTGAGATAGAAGAAATACTTTAAAAGACAAAATTGTACCAAATATTAATCCATTACTTAATACAGTAACTTACAACATTGTCAGCCCAGTCTGCTAATACAGTGGAGATGTAGTTAACAGCATTCAGAATCGCACAGTACCGAAAGCCAAGGGAAGCTCTGGTCTCTTCTTTCATCACTTGAGTTAATCGGATCCTAAAATCATCAACCAAGTCCTTCTGCAATTCCAAGAACTGCAGCTTTCGGGAAGCTGTGGGAAGGTTTTTATACCTGTCTGTAGAAGAAGTTAAGAGACATGATTTTTAGGATCAACATGATAGAGTTACAGGTTTTCCTCATTAAATGGCTTTGATGAATGTCATCAAACAATTTACCATTCAGTTAAAATTATTTATCTGTGTGCTCTTAAGGTTGTGGGCTTGACAAGTATATGCATTTGTTAAAATTCCCTAAACTATACTTAAAATCTGTGTGTTTCACTGTATAGAAATTATGTAATTTTAAAAATATGAGAAAAATGTTACATAAGAGAACCTAGAAATTAGCCCATCTACCTATGGACAGTTAAGTGGGGAAATGACAGCCTTTTTAACAAATGGTGTTGGCAAAATTGGAAAACTATCTAACTCAAAGTGGATCAAGGACTTAGGACTAAAACCAAGGACTATAAACTTCATTAGAAAAAAGCTTGGAAGAACTCTAAAAACCCTAATCCACAACATGAACAGTTTTCCAAGCACACGGAAAAACCTATAACCAGGAGAGGATAAAACAGAAGAATAGAACCTTCTAAGAATCAAATTCCTATGCACATCCAAAAACTTCTCCAATAGGGTAAAAAGGAAAGCCACAGACTGGGAAAAAATATTTGGTAATGGTATGACTGATAAGGGACTTAGATCTAGAATTTATAGAATACTTGAGCACCACAACAAGATAAAGGTAAACAACCCAACTGCAAAATGGGCATGGGATATGAACAGACACTTCACCAAAGAAGACATTCAGATGGCAAACAAACACATGAAGAAATGGTCACAATCCCTAGCTCTAGGAGAGATGCAAATCAAAACAACTATGAAATATCATCTCATCCCAGTAAGAATGCAAACAACAAATACTGGAGAGGGTGTAGAGAAACTGGAATCTTTATTCACTGTTGGTGGGAGGGTAAAATGGTACAACCACTATGGAAGACAGCATCGTGCTTTCTCAAAAAGTTACAAATAGAAGAGAGCTCTGGTGGCCTAGTGGCAAGAAGCTGCACTACAATCCCAGAAGTAAGTGGTTTGAATTCACCAGATGCTCTGCTGGAAAAGGAGGGGCAGTCTCCTCCATACCAGTCAGATCTGATTTGACAGTACACACACACAAAATAATATTTTTTTTTAAAGTTACAAATAGAAATACTATTTGACCCAGCAATTCCACTACTGGGAATATACCCTAAAGATATACAGATATATATGCACACTCATGTTTATTGTAGCTTTATTCACAATAGTAAAGAAAGAGTTGAAAACAACCCAAATGCCCATCAACAAATGAATGGATAGAGAAACTATAGTATATTCACACAATGGAATCCTATGCTGCATTGAAAAACAAGGAACTCAGGAAATATTATACAAAATGGGTGACCCTGGAGGACATGATGCTGAGTGAAATATCTCAGTCACAAAAGGACAAATACTACATAATGCCACTGTTGTAAGACAAGACTAACATTGGGGTTGGGGGAAACTAAGAAAAGAGGGGCTAAATAATGTGCCCTGCATTGAAAGAGATGAGGGAGAGAACTGTTTAAAAGGAATATATGATATTATTTTCATGACAAGAGTCCAGAATAAGAGCTGCATAGTAAAGTGAACTGGGGGTAAGGGGGAATTGCATAACAATGAAAAAATTTTCTTTTCAAAGAGAAAAATGAACTGCGGAGGAGGAATGGGCAGGGAGGAAAATGTGCAACAATGAATGAACGGAAATGCAAAGTCTTTATAAACTTTCATTAAAATCTCAACAAAAATAATGTTACATAAGAAAAACCTGAAGTTTGATAAGAAAAAGGAAAATAGGATGATCTCTGAAGGAAATTCAGTAAATCCTAACCAAGAAAAATTTACAAAGCTCTTGTTTCAGTGTAAGGTATGCTTAATCAGACCATGGACCTTTCAATCACTCGCTATGCAAGAGAGCTGGACCATGACTAAGGATGACAGAAGTACTGATGCTTTTGAACTTTGGTGTTGAAGAATGCTGAATATCCCAAAGGACTGCCAAAAGAATAGATGTGTCTCGGAGAAGGTGCAGCCACAGTGCTCAGTGGAGGAAATGGTGATAAATTTTTGACTCATACTGGGCACGTTACTTGGAAAGATTATTCCATAGAGAAGGACATCATGCTTGGAAAAGCAGAGGGATGGTGAAAGAGAGGAAGACCCTCAAGCAGATGGACTGACACACTGACTGCAATTGGCCTGAATACTCAGGGATTGTCAGGATGGCCCAGGATAGAAGAGGGTTTAGATCTGTTGTTCATAGGGTCACTATGAGTCGTACTCAACTTGACAGCACCTAACAACAACAGTTTAAAAATTTTTTAAAAAATTGTAAAAAAGGAAGAACTATAATAGATTAAAAAAAATACAATAGATGAAAAGATATCTGAAGTTTTCTTTAAAATACTCTAGGGAGAAAATTGAGGAGAGAAATATCAGAATAGAAAAGTGATAATTGTTTTGAATCTCAGTAACAGGTCATTGGGGGTTTGTATATTCTATTTAGAAAACTGCAATAAAAGGTTGTTGTTTTTTAAAATTTATTTTATTTTTAATAATTTTAATGAACATTTACAGAGAATTTGGATTTCCATTCATTCATTGCTGCACTTCTCTACCCGGCTAGCCCTCTCCCCCCGCCCCCCAGAAAGGTTTTTTAAAAGACACAAATTTTACCTCCTTTGTTTGTGTTTTAGTTTTTTTCATCTATATCAGTATCTATTTGTTTGCCTTCATATTTCTCTTATAGTTAATATGGAATTATTTCCTGGCTAATAATTCTTCAAGTTACTGGACAGTGCCAAGAAATAGGGCAGAGAAAGAAGCTGGCACCTTGTGAACCAGCAGGGATGGAAGCTGCTATGCTCTGGCCAAGTAATTCCTGTAATGAATGAAAAGTTCCTATTACTGTTCTAGTCCTGAAAATTATTATTTCACTGTTTTATTTAATCTCTGACAAATCAAGGCCAAGGAAATAGTTAAAAATTTGGATCAAATTAACTGAAGACATTTATATAAAGTCAAAAGAATTAAGATGATATAATTAATTTCCTGTTTGTTTTATGTAAAAGAGAACGTGTCTTCATGCAAACTAAAAGTATTAAAAATCCCAGCGTCAGAATATTGTGCTAGATTTCTCCCAAAATACAAAGTGACTCTGAAGATGGTAAAATAGCCATGATATAATACTGATGTTGTTGTTGCGTACCATCGAGTCAGAACCAACTCGTAACTGATTTTCTGGTGGGTATTCAGAGGCAGTAAATCTCCTGGAAGAAAATGACATCTTTCTCCTAAGGAGTAGTTAGGACTGGAATTTCATGCCTTTGAGTTGGTGGTGCAACTCCTTACCACCAAGCCACTCAAACTCATGTTATAATGGTAATTCCATTAAACACTTGAAAAAGTACCAAATGAAAAGTTAGTTCTTTTCAAGACAAACTCATATATTAAAAGATGTGTATTTACCAGTTATAACCAAGAGCAGAGTCATAAAAGTTTCTGCGCAGTCTGGAACTTTCATTTCATCCACATCTGTGATATCTTTATATTGGGATACCCAGGCAGCTTCTGATGAAAGCATTGAGTCCATTTTTTGAAGAGCAACTGATACAAAGAATGCAGGAGTAGGTCAATTAAAGGAACAGTCATTCTTAACTTTTCAACTTAGAAATGATGGCTTTTCAATAAAGAAATAAACCTACAGATCCCAAAACCAAACCCACTGCCACTGAGTGATCCCAACTCACAGTGACCCTACAGACAGGACAGAATACCCTGTAGGACTTCCAGTCTCTACAGAAGCCGACTGCCACATCTGTGTCCCTCAGGATGGCTGGCGACTTCAGACGCTGGTCTTTTTGTTAACAGCCACAGGCTTAACCACTGCGGCACCAGGGCTCCTTTCACAGCCTCCTACTACTCACACTATTTTAAACATTTTCCCACTAAGAAAGTTTCAAGATAGTTATATTAATTAAACAACTTAAAAACCAAAAAGATTTTTATCAAGAGCAAAACTACTATTTGTGAATTCTATATAGTTATACATCCAACTGGCCTGCATATCACTCTCTAGAAGTATGTACAGTTTAAAAGAATCTGAAGCTTGGTTGGGGGAAAAAGAAAAGATGATTTCTGAAAGTTACTTAGTAAACTCTAACCAAGAAAATTTAGGTACCTTTAGTTCCTACTCAGAACTAGATGAGGAAAATATTTTAAAAATTATATTAAATTATAAATAGAAATTATAATTACTATAAATTATTAAATTAGAAATAGAAATCTTCCCACCCAACAGACGTATCAGCACTTACATTTTCTCTCTACCGTTAACCATCTCTGAAAACAAGTCTCCTCTGAGAGAATATGCATACAGTTAGCATAAGTAGCAGGATAGCCGTGAACGCTGTGTAGCTCCCTTTCAAACAACAGCACCTCATCCACCAAATGACAGAAGAGATTATCATCATAGAGCAGGCAAGGAATATCAGTACCTAACTTCTCAAGAATCAGCATCATAAGGCCTCGAGAAAATTCAAGCTAGAAGAAAAATCCCAAAATATGTAAATGAAAATTTATTCATGTACAGGTGCACCTCTAAACCTCTAAAACTTACATGCTTAGGACTGTTTTTCTTACCCTTGCATTTATTGAAGAGCCAGCTTTGTCTAATATCGGCTGAATCTTTTCATCCAGAAACTGAGTGTGGTTTGCAATCCACATAAGTACTTGAGCCAGGTACCATTCAGGCTAAGGAAGATAGTAAGTATGTTAAGATAGTAAGTATAGTAAGTAAGACAGTCTTCACCCTTGGAAGTCATTCCAATTAGAAAGGTATAATTGTATAGTAACTATAAACAAAACCCAAAAAAAGAGCTAAATAGTCCTGTGTAATAAAGTACAATTTCTACCCTCAACTTTAAAACCATACAAAATTAATATTGAATTGCTCCCAATGTACTCCCAACAAATTCTAACTGATACATTTATGATGAGTTATATATATTTAAATCCTAGCCATTTAGCAACAGAAAACGATGACTATCACAAACAATTACTTTATTTTTAAATAGCTTTCAAAATAGTTGTTAAGATTTTTATTTTTAATTGTGATTTTAATGAAGATTTACAAAGCAAACTGGTTTTCCATTCAACTGTTCATACATTTTGTTCAACAGCATTAATTTCAATGCCTACAATGTAATCACACTTTTCCCCACTTCCTTCCTATAATTCTGATTTCCATTAATCCTTCTGTACCCTCTTCGTTGTCTCTTTGTCTAATGATATTATGCTGATCATCCCCTAATTGGATATTGCCTTTCCCTTCACCTATATTAATATGTGGCTGTTAGCTACTTCCTCATTTTACTCCCTTTTCTTTCTCTTTCCCTGGTAACCATCCAAGAATGATTCTGTGTGTAAACTTTCCTTAGCTTTTAGTATTATATACAGTGGTATTATATAATTGTCTAAAGAAAATGATACATGGGGGCACAGAGCCTTAAGTATCTGTCTAAAAGGGCTACAGGGAGTAAGAATAGCATAGCCTCTCAACACCCCAGAGCAGAATGCAGATAAAGAACTGGTAGCCTAACCCCATGGAGCCTCTACAGCCATACCAGCAGCAAGAGGTTCATTTATTTGCTGCTGACTCACAAATTTACAGTTGTGGTATCAAGAATGGGGTTTATTAGGGAAGTAAATTTGGGAATAGGTGAAGCAAAGAATATATCACAAGTCCAAGTTTTAGCCCAAAAGTTCCAAGCCACAATTCTTCAACTAGTCCAGGCTTCTGTTTCAGTTCACCAAGCAGCTTTTCCTTTGATCATCAAAGGCAAGAATAGCAAAACCTTGAACTGTGGCCAGCACAAATGCAAGAAGCCTCAGGTCACACCTTGCCACAGTTTCTCTACAGCAATGCCACAGTCTCTTCACCACCATCACCAGGTCTTAATCCAGTCTCCCTCAACCCTTGGTGCCACAAGTCTTGCTGCCTAGTGTGGGAAAACCTCTTTCTCTTATCCAAGGCCCAGAGGTGTTGATGATTTGTAAGGCCATGCTGATTTTCAAGACCATATGTATGCAGTTAAGGAGACCAGAGGAGCTAACTAATGGTTTTAAAAAGCCAACTTTTAGGGTAACACTACAATAATGTTTTTCCTTTATGACTCACTTGTTTAATTTAGCATAATGTCCTCTAGATGCATCCATATTATGCAGTGAGAATTTTAAAAATATTTTTATTTTTTAGTATTACATAGTATTCCATTATTTTAATACATGAGAGTTGTTTTACCCAGTTGTCTGTTGGTGAATGTTTGAACTGTTTCTATCTCTTTGCTTTTGTCAATAATGCAGAAATGAACATCTTTTTAAAAACTCACTGATTCTGAGTCATAATCAACTCATAGTTGCCCCTCCATTGGGTTTCTGAGGCTGTAAATTGCCCAAGAGGAGATTGCCCATGTTTATCCTAAGGAATGGCTTCAAATGTGAATTGCTAGAGATGTGTTCTTTGGGTTTGCAGTGGAGCTCACTATGGACCATGCCACCAGAGCTCATACTGTTCATGGATTATGTTACAACTCTTATTTCTCTAATCTGGTGACCTAGTGGCAAGAAGCTGTGCTGCAGTCTCAAAAGCACGTGGTTTGAGTCTACCAGCTACTCCACGGGAGAAGGTTGTGCAATCTCCTCCCATACAATTAACTGCCTCTGAAAACCGACTGGAGGGACAGCTATAGATAGGTTCCAACTCTATGGTATACAACAACAACATATATACCTAGTAAGTTTTGGATCAAATGATTGGATCAAATGGTTATTGGATCAAATGATATTTCTATTCCTAACTTTTTAAGGAAGTACCAAGCTTCTTTCCATGGTAGTTGTACCAAAGAATTTTGTGCTTCTCAAAAGGCAAATTAAGACAAAATGTCAGTTTACACTGCAGAAAAAAAAAACACATGCCCTAAGTACAGCCTGAACTATAGAAAAAAAGAAAATTTGAAATTGTCCCAAGAGATGATCCAATACTACAAGTTTAAATTAAAAGGTATTTCCTGTAGTATAAATCCCTACTATATGCTAAGAACACAAAGACAAGCAGGGAGCAGGCTTTAATATCAAGAACTGCACTGCTTTCTCTTGACAACAGAGCACTAGGAGCACTGAAACCATACTTTCAAAGCAGCTAATATGACTCACAATATTCTTCCCTCAAATTATTACTATTCATCTCTAGGTTTATAGGTTTCTTACTTTCTAATTGGTTCTACTCTTTCTATGACCAATCTATGAAAAAGAAGGAGATTCAGAAAGTATAAAAGAGCAAACTTAAGAACTAGAACCCTACTGCCAGTGAAGCTCCTTCCTATACAAACATAACTGTCTACCTCTCATTACTCAGCATTCTATAAAGCCCATGGATTAATCCATAATTGATAACTCTCAATGCCTACTGTATCCTGGCACTCAATAACATTCAATCAAAACCCTGAAATCATTACGAACACTGCAATAGAGGTAGGAAACTTCAAGGATAGACAAGGTGGTACCACCCCATAGTGACTCTCAAGCTTATAATTCTCAGCACATTTCATAGATAATAGATGTCTAGGATTGGTTTTAGGCCAGATTAAAGGAAACTGTCAACAGTATGCCTGCTACATATTCGCACAGTCCTTCAACTAAATGTTGGTAATAATTTACTCAAATCCATCCCCATCCCTCACTCCCATGCTCTTCCGTGTGTGGCTGCACACCTTTTAGCATCAGCACCTCTACTGAAAACTCTAGTGCTCTACAGCTGCACTGCTATCCTGTAGACATGTGGTTCACAGCACACCCATGAAGAAATGTGAGAAGGTGGTACAGTGACTCCTATGATATATCAACACAGATTCCAAAATATATCTCCACGGAGCAATGACAAAACAATGTATGCTTTTTAAGAAAAATCAGAAATATCAATAGAATAAAAATTTAACTTAAATCAGCAAAAGTGTAGAACCTTTAACACTTGCTGTTATTAAGTACAAGGCGGAGGGTAGAGCACACCTTGCTTATAACATTCGTCTGTCGGTTCCCTCGGAAGTGGTACCTGAACCGCTTCTGAAGGGGCGTCAGCATGACCTGGATGGGCAAGATGACAGGAGAGGATGCAGGCAGAGAGTACTTTTCAGGGAGCTGTTTTTGTTCAGTAAGTAATTCATCTCTGACAGAGTCAAGTCAAGGAAAAGAATCCTAAGAGTGTAATGTGTATATGTATGCACATGTAACAGATTTTACCAACAAATATATCAGATGCTAAGTATAATAAAAATAACACATCATCAAACAAAATATCAAATAAGCAAAAAATGTTGCTACTAAAATTAATCTCCCATTCCTAAAATAAAGAGTAGTAATAAAGAGCACATGCATGACAAAAACTTGAACGAGACATGTATTTCAGGTCTCTTCCCCACAGCCTTCCACCCACATGCCACTTACGCTGAAAGAGAGTAATAGCCCACTTGATGGGTATGCATAGGGCAAGTCCACACCCAGGACTTACAGCTGGCTCTTGGGTCACTTTCAAAAAGTTTTACTCTCTAACCACAAATCTATCCTAGGAAAAAAGATATAGGTAGGGTTTCTTAAACTCCAACAATGATACGAGGTTTGTAGTTTCAGAAGCTGACAAAATAATGTCTCCAGGTTAGTGTATATCTCAGGAGCACTGGATGGACGATTTGAGCCAACAGTTTGAGACTGAGGAGGTCCAATGAATGGCCAATGGAGCTGTGCTAATATTTCCTCAAAATCACTGTAACAGAAGAGTGACCGACATGTTTCAGTGAAGTACACTGATCAGCAATTACTCACCTAAAAGCAGTTATCATAAAAACAGGTAAACCCGTACCTTGTAAGCTTATCCTTGAGAATTTTATGCCAGAATTTAACAGTGGCTCTCATGAAACCAAGAAGATGAGTGCAGGATGATTCCTGAAGTTTGATGTCAAGTTCTGCCATTGACACCAGAGTAGAGGCTGCCTCTGGGACATTATTGGTCATTAGGTATTGTTGAATGTTGTCACTATAAAACAAAGCAAAGCAAGCTTTAAAGATGATTTGTTAAAAATAATCTCAGATCAAAGAAAACGGCTTTTCCTTCTGTTTTAAATAAAAGCACATTCGTTTGTGATGGGCACTTGGATTGATTCTTTGCTATTCTAGGTGAGCATGTATCTGTTTGGGTGGCAGTTATGGTTCCTTTAGGGTATATTCCCAGTAATGGAATTGCTGAGTCAAATGGTGTTTCTATTTGCAACTTTTTGAGAAAGCGCCATACAGCCTTCCATAGTGGTTGCACCATTTTACACTCCCACCAACAATGAATAAAGAAAGGTTCCAGTTTCTCCACAACCTCGCCAGTATTGCTTGCTATTGTGTTAAATTTTGCTATTCTTACTGTGGTGAGATGATTTCTCATAGCTGTTTTGATTTGCATCATCTCTCTTAGAGCTAGGGATTTTCTTCATGTGTTTGTTCGTCATCTGAATTATCTTCCTTGGTGAAGTGTCTGTTCATATCCTGTGACCATTTTTCAACTGGGTTGTTTATCTTGTGGTGCTCGAGTGAATGGGAATCCAAAGTCTTTGTAAACTTTCATTAAAATAAATTTAAAATTAAAAAAAAAAAGCAAATTCAAGGAAAAGTGAAGCACTACCCTGAGACCCTGAGGTGGTTTTTCACCTGATGCCCACTACTGTCTGGGATTCTAAAGTCCCCAAAGTCAGCATCTTTCTAAGAATCAGAACATCTCCCTCCCCTCTTCCCTTCCTGCTTCTCCCAACAAAACCAACTTGTCCTGTGTCACCATCTCTCTGGACACCTCCTTCTTCTCCCTTCTCCCAGCAGAACCCATCTGTCCTGTCCCATAGTCCCTCAGGCAACACTCATTTCTGTTAACACCATTCTTTTGCAGGAAAGAATGTGGGAAGCATATACTAAGGTCAAATCTGAAAAAGTGGCAGAAGAAAAATTTTTACATATTTAACAAAAAAATTCCCACCCCTTTCTTAATTTAGGAAAGTAATAATTTCTGCGTAAAATGTCAGTTTAAAAAAAAAAAAAAAAAGTCAGTTTCCTGACACACTCTGTTTCTTTCCAGTCCTCAAATGAAATCTTTGTTCTTACATATTCAAACTTTGTTGCTATATATTTTTGGATAGAGCCCTACCTGCGGATAAAAGCAAAGACTGTCTGCAGTGTGCTTCAGTACAGATTTCCAGTCTTAAGAGACTGTGGAGCAATCCTGCTCTGACCTATGGAGTTGCTATGAATCAGAATCAACTCAATAGCACTGGGGTTGGGTTGGGTTTTTACTATGAACACAAATGCCCAGTTCTTGACATTTAGAGAACTATGTGTGTATACACAGCAAAACACATCATGATCAATTCTGAGATACTGGTTACATTCTTCAGATTGTTTCACCTTTCTTGCTATCCTTTTCCAAACTGTTTCACCAACATCAACACAAGCTCACTACCCTCTAAGTGTCTCATGTGTTGTTAATTTTAACTCCTTTTGGTAATTCTTTAAATTAAGCTAAATTATTATTTGATTTAAAGACAACTTCAGAGGATAGTTTCAGCACAAAGCTTAGAGATTTCCTCGGGGCAATAATTTCACGAGGTCATGAAGCCTCAGTGGCTCCAGAAAGTCTGATTTCATGAGAATTCTGTCCTCATTTCTGCCGACTTTTGTCCCCTTTTGATCCACATTTTAAAGAAGAAACTGTTAACAGTCTCCAGTTTTTCCATATTTTGCTCAGTTTTGTCCACAGGAATTGTAAGTAGGCACCTCAGCATCCTGAGGTCAAGTTCCAGCTAAACTTCCTCTTGATAAAGTTCCAGGTAAAATTCAAGGTAAGCTCTAAAGCAAGGATGAAGACTGCAAATTCTTAAAAAGGCTGTCAGACAAAGGAAATGAGAACTTAAAGTGGGTGACGGTGAGGCCAAACTAAACACCATACTCCCCATACTAAGGCTCCAGCCAATTGTTTCCAAGCTGTGGTGTGGGTTCATACTGAACATGTCTTAAACTGTTCTATTTAAAAGAAAAGTCAGAAATTAAAATTAACATCTAAAATCAGACCAAATAATAAAAATCTTCAAAACACAAGTCAAATTGGATATATCTTCTGGGACCAACTCAGCCCCCAAATCACTGTTTTATATAATTAGCCCTCCAGGATCAAGCATTTTATTTCAAAGTAAAATCTTTCTTTTGTGAAAAATTATTTAAAACAAATAATAAGAATGACTGTTATTGTTGTTGGTTTTAACTGTTTTTAATCAAACATTTTTCTAGGTTGTATAGCACTGGTCTGCCCACTTGCTGGAGAGAGAAAACTCGTGTTTGCTGTGATGCTGAACACTGTGACACTGATGTGTCAAATGTTATAATGGTTACTCATAGTTGACCGTGTTTGGTGGAGCTCCCCGATTAAAATAAGTTTGGAAGCAGGAGTGGCACCCACTTCTGAAACAGCTTGCCTCCAGAAACCCTATGAACCTGGAGAAACGATGAAAGTCATACAAGTGTTCAGGTCTTTCGTTCATAGGGTTGCTATGAGTCTAACAACATAACAACAAGAATGAGGTGCTCTAAAATCCTTAAGTCAACTTTTAGACTCACTAATAACACTACAAAGGTGATACATATCACCATTTCTCTAAATATGAAATTTCTACATGGTTTAACCACTCTGGAAAGCAGTTGGGAATAAAGATGTCATTTGATCCAGCAATCCTGTGTTGTTAAGTACTATCAAGTCAGAACCGACTCATAGCTGGCCCTGAAGCAGGTTTTCAGAGGCAGTAAATGAAGAGATTACCCATCTTTCTCTCACAGAGCAGCTGGTGGGTTAGAACTGTCTGCCTTTGAGTTGACAGCAGAATTCCTTACTAATCTACCAAAGCTCCCTAGCAATCCCACCATTAGGTATATATCACCCCAAAAATTAAGAGTATTGCCACAAACTAACATATGTACCCATGTTTATTGCGGCATTATTTACAAAGCAGAGAGCTGGAAATAACTATCTATTCAGAGATGAATGACTAAAAAACTCTGGTATATTCACACAATGAAATATTATGCATCAATAAGAGGATCAAGGATTTATGAAATACTGCACAACATGGATCAACCTAGTATAAATTATGCTAAGTATCCTAAATCAGTCATAAAAAGACAATTATGGTATGAGCTAGGGAAATGTTTACCCACAGATAGAATTAATCTTGGAGGGATTAACAAGGATGGGAAGAGGAGGGGGGGAAATTAATAAATAGGTAAGTTAGGTGAAGAGAAAAGCAATACGCTTGTAGAGAGTGATTAGACATCAATTAATTTAATTAACGTTAATATTAAAAACAAAATGTCTATGAATGTATGAAAACCAATATTATTTGTAACCCACTCAAATTTAAAAAAAAAAACTTAAATTAGAAATAATAAATCAAACTCCTGCATGTAAAACAAAAATTCTCATACTATGTAAAATTCTTTAATCTTGGGAAATATATCTAGGACAATGGCATATGGCATTTCCTTTTTAAATAAATTACACTATGACACATTTACAACAAGATGTAAAGATTCTCTTCTTTGAGCTCTTTCACACACTCCTTAGGAGCTCTGATCCTTAGAGGGTAAGGATTTGCACTGTCAACCCAAAGGCAGCTGGCTCAAGGGAGAAAGATGCTTCTATGCAACTGATAGCCTCTGAAAACATATTGGAGAGTCAGCTAGGAGTTGGTTCCAACTCAATGGCAATGAACAAAAACCACAACACTCCAGACAGAAGTGGCTGCTTGCAGCTTTGAAGGAAAAGTAACTAAACTTAAAACTGATCAGGGATAGAACAGTAAGATTCAGAGGGGCTTAGATGATCATCTCATAAAACAAAACGATCTGGAAATGCATGTTGTTGTTGTTAAGTGCCGTCGAGTCGCAGGCGACTCACAGCGACCCTATGAAGGAGAGTCCTCGATGCTTGGGTGTCTTTCATCCTCTCTCCAGGTTCACAGGGTTTCCAGAGGCAAGCTATTACGGAAATGGATGCCACTCCTCCTTCCAAATGCATGTAGGACACGCTAATTTGACTTACTTGAATTAAGCAGTACCAGACAATCCTAAGCAACCATTGTTTGTTGTTGTTGTATACCACAGAGTCAGAACCGACCCATTGCTGACCTTCCAATAGGTTTTTAGAGGCAGTTAAATGCACAGGAGGAGACTGCCCATCCTCCTCCTGCGGAGCAGCTGGTGACCCTGAACCACATGCCTTCGGTATTGCAGTGCAGCTTCTTGCCACTAGGCCATGAGAGCTCCCTTAGTGATATATGATACTTTTCAAAGAACTATGGTCAAATATTTTTTTTCTTCTTTTTTCCTTCTCATAGGTAGCAGAGCTGTTACTCATCTAAGAAAACCACGTAGCTCAATAGATGCTTCTCTCTGAAAAAAACCTCACATTATATAGAAAGCATTTCATTAAGTGACCGTACCTGAAAAATAAACAGAAATATCACCACACTGAGGGGTTATTTATTTATTAACTTGGCATTATCAATACAGTTATTCATCCTATGTCCATAATAGAACTATAGGACTTAAGGTGCTTAGCTCTTACTTTCTTAGAAATGTAAATTAAACACCCTGAAAAGTTTGTTCATTCACAATAAAGGCAAAGGATCATTATCATAATGCTATTTTCATAATAACTAGTAAAACTGTATTATTATAATCTTCAATTAACTCAGTTAGTTAATGGAATTCATGCCCCCTCTTAGAAACCTCAAAGTAAAACAATAATTATCAGAACAAAGAGGCTTATTTTACCTTAGTTCTTCAATTTGTGAGATCCACTTTAGGTAAGCGAGATGCCGCTCAATCTCTTCAATCTGGTTAATCATGGTCCCAAGATCATCCATCCAGGGCTGGGCGGTCAGTAAGTGGCTGTTAATGGCATCGGAGAGACGTGATTCTTGCTCCAGAAGCTGATTAAGGGATTGCTTTGATTCTTCTGCATTTTTCAAGGCACTCTGAATTTTTTTAGGGATTTCTGATGAAATTTTAAGTACCTGACCATAAAAAAAAACCAAAAAACCAAACACAAACCACCAGCAATCAGATAAAATTTTCATAACCTTTGTTCATTCATTAGCGTACCTTCAATATATATTTGTCCCAATAGACTTGGACATTGTACATTTTTAGAATGTCAAGAAAGGACTGGTTTTGTGCTAACCATTAATCCAGGGAGGTCAAGTGCTCAACAAATAAGCAAAAGGTTTGCGGATAGAACCTTCCAGCTATGCTCTATGGGAAAAAGATGTGACAGTCCACTTCTATAAAGATTTACAAACTTGGAAACACAATGGGGCAGGTCTACTTTGTCCTATAATCCTCATAATGAATTTGGATCGACTTGATGGCTATAAATTGCAAAGAGTCAGTGCTAATCAAACCCCCAGATAAAATTTTACATGTGATAATACCTAGGAAGGGGCTTCACAGGCCCCGGCAAGTATGGCATCTGCCTTGAACCTTTCCTAACATTCAGAGGCTTCAGGTAGAGTTCTCTAAAGCTCTCATCTACTCTTTTCCTTCAGAAACAAATGAAGCTCTGACTCAGAAAGGCTGGAGAAATGGTAGATAATCCCTCACTTAAGAAAGGATCCCATTCTAACAGCTCCATCATAAATTAGTTCTGACTTTAGATTTCATTATTATTGGCTTTCATTATCAGTATCTTTATAAATCACAACACTGAATATCTGAGAAAAGTAATATTAGCAAATTACACCCTGCAGCACTTTATGTAGAACATATCCCTGGTGATATGAAGAAAAATACAAATCAGGCTTCACCTTAACTCCAATACATTGTAAATCAGGGACTACCTGTGTGCATATTTTGCAAAACTCCTCCAGATAATCAGCATTTAAACTCAGGTCAAGAACCACTGATTTGGTATAATGATATCTAGGAGTAATGTCTTCATATAGTATATTTATTAAATCAACTTTTCTTTTTTTTTAAATAATGTTAACGAACATTTACAGAGAATTTGGATTTCCATTCATTCATTGCTGCACTTCTCTACACGCCCAGCCCTCTCCCCCTGCCCCCCAGTTCGCTCCTCTCTTTCAAAAGTAAAAGAAAGACTCCCTCCCTGGTACACAATCCCCCCCGCACCCCTCCCACCGCCCCAAGTACATTCCACTATTCAACCTTAATTGTGGACTCTTGTGTAAATCAACTTTTCTTATGAAATAAAAGGAAATATATGCAAACATTAGGCATCAGTACAGTACAATGAATATTAGAGGAATGCCAGCCTATTTAACAGCGATTTCATTAAACAGATACTTTTGACCAGGTTTGTGCTAGAGATATATAGATAAATATGACACAGTATCTGCACTTAAGATCAGTCTGATATGGGAGATATAAGTAAATAATTTCAACCATCTGATTAATTTAGCAAAAAATTATATATATATGTGTGTATATGTATATATATATATATATATGTGTGTGTGTGTGTGTATACATACACATACATACATACACTAGTGCAGTGGTATACTAAGGCAGTACTTTCCAGATTTGAATGTAGACACATATCACTAGCAATGTTGTAAAAATGCTAATGTGGAGTCAGTAGGTCTGGAGTAAGCCATGAGATTCTGCATTTTTTCACAAGTTCTTGCACAGCAAAATTCTGAGGTACCAGGCAGTCCTCCTTGCCTGGCTGAGGCACCAACATTTGTAAGGTGGGTGGGAATTTTCCAGGGCACTGTGAAAGAAGAGGGCATTCCTGACAGAACAAACAGGCTCAGTCATGATCACAGAACAGCAAGAAGCACAGAAGACCAAAGGTTCACTTGATCTTAGCCAAAAGGCCGAGAAGCGATAAGACCAAAGGTTCAAAGAAATGTAAGAAAAAAGAGAGAAAGCTAAAGAAATAGAGGCCTTGCTGGCCTTTTAACAACAGATAACCAGAGCCACTGAAATTTAAAGAGGGAACTAATTTGGTTAGATGTATAATTCTTAAACATAGTATTATTAACAATAGTATGTATTCCTCCATTATTTGTAATAGTGAAAAAGTAGAAACTAAAAAGTCTATTAGGGGAGCTTTGGTGGCCTAGTGGCAAGGACCTGCAACTACAATCCCAGAGGCGCACGGTTCAAATCCACCAGATGCTTTGCCAGGGAAGGAGGGGCAGTCTCCTCCTGTACCAGTCAGATCTGATTTGACGGTACACGTACAAAAAATAATAAAATAAAATTTAAAAAATTTTAAAAAAGTCTATTAATAAAATTAAATATGTCACTGCTGTTTAGTCAAATCTGACTCATAGTTGACCTTCCAGTGTGAATTTTGAGAGGCAATAAATCACATGAGAGGAAATGGCCCATCTTTCTCCTGAGAAACCTCTGGTTGGTTCTAATGCCAGAGATGCACCAGCTTTGGGTTGGCAATACAATGCTCTACAAGATTCCACCACTCGAGCGCCCTAAATACAGCCAATTTTTAATAACATAATCTGTTAAAAGAGAGATCTTACATTAATTGCAAAAACCTCTGTATTTTAAATATATTTGCACTTGTATATAGATAGGAAAAAATTTAATTATAAAAATACGTATTTTTTAACAGAGGAATCTTTAATGGGATGCCAAATTGGAAAAAAATAGGAAAGTCAAATGTAAGTAACAGCTCCTATGACTTCTGTAGAGCAAGAGGACCGATATGAATAAGCATACATACATCCTCTTCTTCAAACATCTCATACAGTTGTTTAACTTAAATCACTTACCAATTTTTTTTTTATTACCAATTTCTTGACCTTAAATCCTGTGCCCTTATATAATGTATTTGTTTTGCATTTGCATCTATTTTAGGAAAATCACAGCCATACGCTCAAGCAGAAAACTTGATGGATCCGGAAAACTTAACTGCTGACTTTATAAATAACTGAGTAATGAGTACGTACTATGAGCTCAGTAAATATTCTTGATTGGATATTGGAAAAAACAACCCTCCAATATTTTAAAAATCTATAAATATATTCATTTTCTCTTGAATATTAAGTATCAATTTTAAAAATTTTTACATTTTTTTAAATTTTATATTGGTTTACATACAAAATTTGTAAACATTATTTCATTCATGTACACTGTGTTTCCTATTCTTTCATTCACACTGTATTTCATATAAGCATTCCCATATAGTGTTTTATAAAATTAATCACCATTGATCTATGCCCATTGTCACCCCATCTTGTCAGGTTCCCACTGGATCTATCCTAATTCATTCAGGCGCTCCCTCTGCCCACTAAATTCTGTGACCCTGTGGTTTCTCTCCCTCCCCCCTCAATATCCCAGTCCCTCTCCTGCATAAGACCATTAATGTAAAAATAGAAGGATAACTAGTGAGATGTGGGTAAAAAAAATTTTATGGATTATTAACTTTTTTTTTTCATTTTACAATGGTTCGCATTTAAAAAAATACTTCTAAGGGAGTTCTGGGGCATACTCATTAGGAAACTGGGCTACGAACCCCAAAGTGGTACATATCTGGCAGTTCGAATCCACCAGCTGTTCCACGGGAAGATGAACAGTCTCCTGTGTAATTTGCAGCATCTAAAACCTGCTAGAAGGTCAATTATGAGTCGGTTCCAGTCAATGGCAATGAGTTTGAGAACTGAAAACTATACTGTGTAGAGGAAGAACAAGGAGCAATGTCAAGTATGGTCATAATCTGTGGTGCTTAGATAAAAAATATGGGCACATTTGGTAATGGCTGCAGTTGACCTCCAGGACTGTGGGCGATTCCAGGACTCACTTGTGCTGTGAAAATCTTGTTCCCACTATCAACAGGTGACCAGCCTATTCCAACGGAAGATCCTTTTAAGGAACTTCTAAAAAAATTTATCTTGTGTGGAAAATGTGTAGACTATAAGAATGGACAGCTTTTGTCCCAGTTTTTTTCTCCATATCCTGGATGCACATATGGAAAGCACATAACAGGTCTTTGTGGGAAGAAACAAAGAGCACTCAAAAGAGGGATTTATGCCAATTACATATAAGGATCCTGCATATCGCAAAGACCGTAATGTTTGCAACATCAGGCATTGGGAATAAATTATGTAAGACTATTACCAATAAATTTATTTTAAGACTATTACCAATAAATTTATAATAAAACTGTATTATATGTGTTTGTATGTCTATTATATGTAGTAAAATTTCATAAAAAAGTTATTGTGATATGAAGAAAACTAATGAATAGCAAGTCACCATCAAATGTGAGAGAGAATGAGGACCTAACTAAGTTGATGAGAAGGAGACGCAACTTAGATAACTTGCTGATGAATTCAATCAGAGATGGAAAGGGGATGAGAAACATTTGACAACTCTCAAGTTTTAGGCTTCGATTCTGAACAGACAGTGGTACCATTAACTAAAACAGGACTTTAAGAAATGGATCAGTACAGGTTTGGACATGGTAAAGTTAAGCTTCAGTTAGAGACTTCAGCAAAAGTTACAGCGGTCATTAAAGAAACAAGTCTAGATACAGTGGGACAAAGGAAAATTAGGACGTGGAGATGGATAAAGCAAGATCTTATTGACGAAAACTCAGCAGTCAAAGGAATGACCTGTAATGTAATAAAGCAAGAGGGGAGATTTCCTGTTTAGTTTAAGGAGAAAAATCTGTGAACATCCACAGACTGAGGGGACAGACCTGGTGAGGAGTCTTCTCCAGTTCTCTCTCATTACAACTGAGTCAGAACTAACTCAAAGCTCACCCTCCAGTGGGTTTTCAGAGGCTGTGAAACAAAAGGGTGTACCGACCGTACATCCTTCTCTCATAAAGGAGCTGGTGGATTTGAACTGCCTTTGGGTTGGCAACATGACTCTTCACCCACTAGGCCACCAGAGCTCCCTGGATGAGGAGCAGAGGATGAAATTATTAGGGAAGGAGGAAATGTGCGAAAGCACATTCAGGGAGGTGGCAGGTACAATCTAGAACATAAAGACTGCCTTAGATTAATCCTGTGCTAATTATGAAGTAAAAATGGTTTCAAATAGATTTATTGAGTTTAAGGGTTGACAGTTCAGTAGATTCTGCTATGTGGCCTCAGTTTTTTCCATTTGGGAAAAGAGAAGGGCAGATCGTTACATGTAGACTAGCTGTGTTGGGGAGACACTGAAAGAACAGCTGAGGAGAATAGAAGACGCACTAAAGAGATACCATCAAAGGATGCAAGGGGGATGAAAGACTCAGCCATAATGGCAGACCCCACATTTGGACTGCCATCAATCCAATCAGTTGTGTGATTCATCCAACAACATCTTATCTGCAGAAGGAGAAGCAATAGACAGAATACCACTCAACAGACTAGGAATAGGTATTATGGAGAGATGGTAGGACATGGAGCGTTAAGGTTCTGGGGATGGGAGGGCATAAGTTGACTAAAACTTGGGACTAATATACCAACACAAAACCAAAAACCAATGACTTATACTGAGCTGATGACTCCACGCAGGACAACCATGTGTTATAGAGCTGTTAGCACCCTGTGTTACAGAGAGCTTTTCTTGGCTTTCCACAGGCTTTTCTTGGCTATAACTGTTACAGAAGCAGATTTCCAGACCTGTCTACAACCATGCTAGATGGATAGTAACCACCACCCTTCAGATTTGCAAGCAATCTCCAGATGCTTGTGCCATCAATAGATCTATCTATACCTAATTCAGTAGTTGTGCAATACAACTTTATCTCTAACAAATCTACGACTACAAATATGTTGTTTTTATGAGCTGTCAGGTTAATCCCAGCTCATAGCAGCCCTTTACAAAGCAGAATTGCCCCGTAAGTTTGCCAGGCTATAATCTTCATGTGAACAGATCACCTTATCTTTTCTCCCATGGAGGAACTGGTAGGTTCAAACCACTAACTTTTCATTTAGCAGCTGCATCCTTAACTACTGACTGAGTTATAAGTTGTTTTGTTGTTGTTGTTATGTGCCATCGAGCCACTTGTGACTCATAGCGATCCTATGTACAACAGCCCTGAAACCTGCTCTATCCTGTGCCAACTTTATTGTCTCTGACGCACCTACCGACATTACCCCAATCACTGTATCAATCCATCTCATTGATGGTCTCCCTTTCTCCATTCCCTCCACCCTTCCAAGCATGATGTCCATCTCCAAGGCCTGGTCCCTCCTTGCAACATTCCCAAAGTATGTCAGATGGAGCTTCAGAATCCTTGCCTCCAAAGAGCAGGCCAGCTTCACCCTCTCTAGAACAAAACTGTTTTTTCCCCTGGCAGTCCATGGTATATCCAAAACTCTTCTCCAGCACAACAGCTCAAAGGGATCAATTCTCTTTTTTTCATCTCTAGTCATTGTCCAGCTGACACATAGCAAGCAATTGTGAAGGCTATGGCCTGGATCAGGTCCACCTTAGTCTCCAGACTGATATCACTGCTTTTCAGTACTCTGGAGAGGTTCCCGACAGATGACTTTCCAATGCAATTCGTCTCCTGATTTCCTGGCTTCTGGTGTTAAGAGTGCTGACTGTGGAGTCAAGCAAACTAAAGCTGTTAACAATCTCAATCTCTTCACCATTCATTATGATGCTGCCAATTGGCTCAGTGGTAAGAATCTTTGTTTTCTTGATGTTGAGCTTCAATCCATATTGAAGGCTGCAGTCCTTGACCTTCTACAACAAGTGCTTCAGATTCTCCTCAGTTTCAGCAAGCAGGGTTGTGTCATCTGCTTACCACAGGCTGTTAATGAATCTTCCTCCAATTCTGATGCCACATTCCTCCTTATACAGCCCAGCCTCCAGGATATAGATTGAAAAGGTATAGAGATAGAATACAACCCTGGCATACAACCTTCCTGATTTTGAACCACCCAGGGTCTCCTTGCTCTGTTCTGACATCCAACCAAGTACGTTGTTGTTCTTATGTGCCGTCAAGTCGCTTGCAACTCATAGTGACCCTATGTACAATAGCCCTAAACTCTGCTCTGTCCTGTGCCAATCGCACTGTCTCTGACACTCCCATCCCTATTATCCCAGTCACTGAATCAATCCACCTCATAGAAGACCTTCCCCTCCTGCGCTGTCCCTTCACCCTCCCAAGCATGATGTCCTTCTCCAAGGACTGGTCTCTCCTCACAACATGTCCAAAGTTTGTTAGACTGAGCCTCATAGGTTTCGCATAAGCACAATCAAATGTTCTGGGATTCCCATTTTTCTCAGAGTCAGCCACAATTTATTGTGATCCACACAGTCAAAAGCCTTTGCATAGTCAATGAAACACAGACAGACATTCCTCTGACACCCTGCTTTTAGCTAAGATATATCTAACATTAGCCATAATGTCCCTGGCACCATGGCCTCTTCTAATCCTAGCCTGCACATCTGGCATTTCTCTGTTGACGTGCTGCTCCAGTTGTTTTTGGATGATTTTCACCAGAATCTTGTTTGCATGTGATATTAATGATATTGTTTGATAGTTTCTACATTCTGTTGGGTCACCTTTTTTTGGAATGGGAACAAATATAGATCTTTTCCAGTCAGTTAGTCAGGTAGTTGTCCTCCAGATTTCTTGGCACAACTTAGGGAGCCAGGGCAGTGTCTGTTGAAATATGTCAACTAGTATGCCATCAATTCTGGGAGCCTTATTTTTTTGACAATTCTTTCAGAGCAGCTTGGATCTCTTTCTTTATCACCACAGCCTCTTGCTCATATGTTGCTAAAAAACCTCACACACACTGCCAAAGAATCACCATTGGGTTTCCAAGGCTGTAAATCTTTAGGGGAGGGGGATGTTTACTTTTCTCCTGAGGAGCAGTAGGTGGATTTGAACCACCAGCCTTTCTGTTAAAAGCCCAACTCACAATGCAGTATGCTCCCAGCACTTCTCCTTACAAGTAGAGGGACTCATTTATTTTTCTTTCAAGATTATAGTCATTGGGTTTTAAAAATTATTTAAGTAATGTATCTTTACTGTAAAAATAAAAAGTAGAAAAATATGAAGAAAACAAATCAACTGTTAACCAACCACTCAGAAATAATCATTATTAAAATGTTACATTTCTTTTCACATTTTTCCCTATGCATACATACATTTTTGAAAAGTATTTAATTATGATGCTCTAACATTTTCCTTTGCCATGAAACTATCTATTTGTGAAAGCACCATAATAAGTGGTTGCTGAGAGAGAGAAAAGGAGATGAAGAGTTACCATTTTTCTCTCTAGGGTGATAAAAACCTTTCAGAAATAGATAGTAAATAGTGATGGTTGTACAACATCACAAATACAATTAATGTCACAGACTCATACACACTGGACATAATAATAGTTAAAATGGCAAAAATGTTTGCTGTGTAATTTCCCACAAAGAAATTTTTTGAAAATAATTGTAGGAAAAACTAGTTAACATGGAATAACGTGGAATGCAAGTGCCTAGTGGGGTGTGTGTGTGTGTGTATATAGTCATATATCATTATGTTTCAAGACATAAATCATGTCAGCATGTCAGTTGAAATTTTGTCTTTTACATAATTTGTAAAATACCTATCAGATCCTACGTCTTTAAAGCCTATTACAGAGTTTTAAATTAATACATAATATCTATATTTATCTATGGTTATGTTTGTTTATATGAAGTTACAATGAGTATGTTATCAGTATTATTTCTATTCATTTTAATACTTGCCTGTTCCTCCAGCTGCATATTACTTTCTGTCATCTGTTCTATAAGTTTATCAAGTTTCTTTAATGACTTAAGGTCATTTCCAACTTCCTTTTCTATGAAGGTAGACACATATGAAGAGAGATCATCATTATCCGTACATTCGATGACTTGTTCACCTCCAACAAGAGCTGCCATGTTTATGTTACCTAAAATAAAAAGAATTATTCAGTACTAGTAGTTACTAGGAAATGAAACACAAAAAGCATGTAAGGCAGCAGTGTAGAGTTGATCATTTAAACTCAATAAATGTACATAAAATACCTAAATGAATAGGTAAAAATCAATATATAAATCAAATACTACAAAATGCTTAAAGAAACTTAGAATAAAGAATTGTGAATCCAAGAAACCTATTTAGAGAATCTCAACACCAGCAAAGAAGCAGAGTATGCAGCATGTCCTTGGGGCTCAGAGATTCTTGCACCAGCCCGACCTACAGGAGTACAGCAGTAGCTGCAGCTGAAAACCAGAGACCTGGCATGAAATAGAGCTGACCTTGGGACTGCTGCCTCATGGAACCAGAGCTAGAAGCCTTTGGCCAAGTTTGTTGGAGGACTAGGTTAGGGGGAAACACCATAATTGGCAGAACTAAGAGGGGTTTTATTATTATTTTATTTAAATTTTTTACTAATTTCAGTAAAAATTTACAGAGACTTTGGATTTCCATTCATTCATTGTTGCACTTTTCTCCCCTCTCAACCCTCCCCCCTAGTACACTACCCTCTTGGAAAAGTAAAATACTTTCATTGTTTTACAAACCATCCCCCAGGTCCACTCCACTATTCAGCCTTCACTCTGGACTCCCGTGATGACAAAAGTACCTTATCAC